GGGTGGGGAGATTTTTGGGTTGTTTTGGGGGGGTTTGGGGTTTTTTGGTTTGGTTTTTTGGTGTGTGTGTTTTTTTTTTTTTCAGGGAGGGGGGGTGCACGTGTCTTTTGGTTGGTTGTTTTTTTATCGAGTTACTAATCACAGGGCCTCCCTCCCACTACAAACAGCTTAGCACCCAGGGAGTAGCTTGCTCAAGTTATCCGATGAATATTAAGACATATGCCTTAAACTTGTCAGGTTATATGCACATCAGAGTTTCACTGTTACATAGTCCTATCCATCAATCTCTGATCCCCTTCTCCTGTGTCCCCATAACTTTTTAATCAATTGGCATATTTCAATGAAATTTCAAAGAGCAGGCATTCCAGCTAATCAGTTCCTGAAGTTTTCATAAAAATTGGTAGCTGGGTAGCAGGGACACACCCAGAGAGAATGCTCCACTCATGCAGAATTCAGCTTTTATTCATCGTTTAAGACAACAGCTGGCTGGCAAAATAATCAGGCACTTGTTTCCTTTTGCCTAGTGAGGGTACAGGGTGGAGCTGGGGTCCCGGGGTGTGGAGATTCAGGGGACAAAAGACAGAGTCTGTACAAATCTAGGCTTCTGTTTTGCTGTTCCCAGAAGAGCTTGTTTAATTAATGTTCCATGTTAGGCAGAAAAAGGTATTTCAATGTTTCATCCGTTTGGAAGTCTTCCCCCCATTTTAATGAAATTAAACAACGATTTGGCCTTTAGGGCTTCATAAAATCCACTATAAAACTGCTTATGCTAGGCTTATAACTTCATTATTTAATAATGAGCTCCCGCTAAAGACCTGATATTCATTTCCAGTTCTGCAAGATGTTGTAACAATCCTTCATTAGCTACTGTAATCTAAGGCATAGATTTTATTGTATATTTTCTTAATTGAGCTGTTGCAGCAATTGGCTCAGGAAAAGTTATTTATAAAGCAGTACTGGAACGGCACATTTAGAATAGTCATATGCCTGGGACTGTATAGACTGTATCCTTTTGCGGCTGGAAATAATATGAAGAATGTGGCATCTATTCCCAGATAAAGGGCTGGCAAGTTTTACTCCTTGTGAAATCTAGTTGTATAATTTAGTGGCTGGAAAGGCTTAAACACTTAGAGAAATGAATCAAATGAACCAGAATGTTTTACCTGAATGTTTTATTTTTTCCATTTTAATAATAGAAAAAAAATAGAAAATAGAAAAAAAAAATCTATTTTTAATAGCAACAGTACAATTTTTAATGAAACGGCAACAGTATAGCTACAAGATTCAGATACAACACACAGTATCTAGATAAGCTGTAGCTCAGTTTTACTTTTCTCTTGCCTTGAATAAAGTCTTGTGAGAACCTCACTGAAAAAAGTCTGTGGCAAATGAGGACCAGGACCTCTCAAGCCACAGGCCAGGATTTCATAAGCTTCCCCTTTGGGATTGACACCATGTTTGTTTAGTTTGATATGATGTGTATATTTATCTGTTGTAATGTATGTTTCCTGTGAAGTCACTCTATGGGCTTTCAGCCTGGCTTAGGGAACGAATCTACATAAGAAGAAAGAGCTGTTGGCATACCAACTTGCCAAGACCAACACATGTGGGATTTTTATGACTTGGCACCGGCTTTCTCACTAACAGTAACCTCATTCTGTTCTTGATCATTCTGACTATATCGACACTTCTCTAACAAGAGCATGACTTATGTGTAGTACAATCAAAATGCATTTGTCTTCTGGATTCTGGTCTTAATACAGAAATCCAGCTCAAGACTCCTTTCCACGCTTAGCAGAGCTGAAGGATCTTATTTCAAGATGACTCAGCTCTTCGCAGGTTAGATGAACCAAGTCTTTTCATCCTTCCTTATACTTCAGTGGAATAACAACCTGCCTGATTCAGTCAGCAGAAACTATTTAACCCCTTCTTAACAGAATAAGCAGATATAATTTTTTTGTGAAAGAAACTATAGTTTCTTTACTTCACTATAGTGAAGTGTTATAACATCTTGGCCACTGCAATGCAATTATATTTTGAAGTTGAAAATTGCAGGGTCAGTTTTCTTTTTTACTTCTGAAGTCTATATGGTTTTTTTCTTCTGTTAGAGGATCAGATTTTGTCTACTGCCATGATGGTAAAAATCACTGCCAGATCTTTGACATTACTGGATGAGGAAAAGAATTTGGGATCTAATCTCTTGCAGCGTTTATTTGCATTTAGGAAGTGAGATTTCAAGCAAATAGCAGACTTCGGTGTGCTGCAGGCTTCTCCTTGAACATGAAATTGCTGAAGGTGCTTCTATCAGCTTCCAGTTTCTATGACACTGGAAGTGCTATGCTTTAAATATTCAAATTTCTATCACTGTATTATCTGAAAACCCATCACTGAGACTGTGTGAACAGAATGTGTATGTTAAGTGGATTATGCAAATGAAGCAATATGATTACTTTTTAGTGCCTCCCCACACTCTTACTGTTTCAGAATTATATAAATAAGGACATGTTCCTAGGCCTTTTTACCTTAAGATTATTTGAGAAAAGTATTTATCACATGCTTGGTTTAGAGGGGATGTTAAGTCAAATTCAAAGTATGTACTTTTAATTGGAGAGTCGTGAAGAGTCTGCCTTCAGTTAAAAAGTCCCCTTACTGAATTTCACTAGCTCTGATTTAGATCCTTTCTTCAGGTCCTGATGTGTGAATTTTACCAGGTTTTGTATTTAAGTAACCTGTTGTTTCCTGTGAGAGATTACCAGAACATTTGTTTTCAGTGCTAATGTTATGATACTGTATGGCCTGTTCATATATTATCTTCCTTCAGCTGGATGAACACTTACTAGCACACAGAGTCAATATGCACATCATTAGTATTTTGCAGGATTTATGATTCTCCCTGTTTTCTAATGGGCTGAATGCAAAGCCCTTCAAAGAAAGCACAGCAACACCATTTCACAGTTTGGGAAGGATTCAAAGTCATTTTAGTCAGCGCATTTTTAGTGCAAAGCATTGTAAGTTTAGCAAGAGTACCAAGGCTGCAAACCTGACATAGGATCTTGCACAATGTGAGCATCAATTTCATGTTTTGTCTTCAAGAGAGACCCTGCAGAAGCAGGTTGATCCCTGGGAACACGTCGAGGTGTTGAGGTAGCTCTGGCCAGAGAGAAGCACCCACTATTGACAAGCCTGCTTGTGTTCAAACAAGTCATGAAGGAAGATCCCATGGAGTTTCTATTTTTGCCTAATCCAGATCTCCAGGGAACTTTAAGATGTTTACGGTAGCTTTATACCTCCTGGTTTGCTGGTGAATTCTAGCTGGAGGTGAGCCAGGGAGCATAGGAGCACTGTGCAAAGGCAAACAGTGCGGCGTGGATAAAGAGGAAGGGCAGAGGGTGCTATGGGTGCTGGGCAATCAGCTGATGATTTTGCTGCAACAGAAAACAGTAAATGGTACCAGAAATTTATGAACCATTGCCCCTCTGGGCAACTTACTCTCCATGAGTTTAAGACAGTACTGGGTTTATCTGCTATGAACCCTCAGGCAAACAAGTATGTTGAGCAGGTGTTTCACATCTTTGACAAGAATCAGGTAAGAAATTTTCTTGGACTATTTTCATCATGAACTGCATGTGTTAGCATGAACAGTAGAGGATTTTGGCCTAGTGATACCAAATAAGAAGCGTTATGTAACCAGGAATTGTTTGGTTTTTTTTTCCTCCTTAATTTCTAGCAGCTGTGCAGCATTACTTAAACTGAGAAAACTGGATTTGCAGACTCTTTTCAATGTCATTTAGATTGTTTAAGAGAAGAGCTCTCCAAAAATCTACTAAACAAGTTTTGTAGGTGGGGCTGGATGAGAGTCTTAAAACCCTCATGTTCCCCCCTTTCACTACTGGAAGGTTGTGTGAATATTTCTGTCTTCGCTCTCGTCTTAAAAAAATTATTTTCCCCACCATTTCCAAAGCACAGTCTCTTCAGATCTATTGAGCTGCATTTTTGGACAGTTACAATGAATCTAATTTTTTTTTCTTTATTTTATTACCACCATTTTTATTCTTATTTGGAAAGTTTGCAAAAGAGTAATATAGCAGGAATAGGCAGAAATAAGATAAGTAGATACCAGCCTTCCAGGAAGGGGAAGAAATAAGTGAAATGTAAAACAAAAAAAAAATCCAAACAACCAAACAAAAAGTCAAATTAACAAAATTAAGGCACAAGTATAAAGAGATGGAAATAAATGTTCAACTAGTGGAAGGAGGAAACAGTGTCTCATCCCTTTTTCTTACATTAACTGAAACCCTCCTGGAACTGAAATGCAAGCTGTTGGGAAAAAGTGTTCAAAAGATAGTTAAAATCTCAGCAAGAGATTAATTTTCGATCCGAAACAGAGCTGATACTTGGACAAAAACAACATATGAGAATAAATGTGGTAGTTTGCAGCTGCAGCAAGAGGGAGAAGCAAAGGCTGGCAATGGCAGCCACAAGATCCAGCCCCTCGGGGTGTCCCTGCACAGGGCCTGCCTCTCCCCCTGGCCCAGAAAAGCACTTGGACAGGAATTACTAGATAGAAATAATGCCGTGCTCTTCAGCAACCACAACAAACCCTTGCCTTGCTAACTGGAGCCACTAGGAGATGCAAGTTGCTCAGTGTCTGCTCGGTTTGGGAAAGACTTCAGGCACCAAGGAGAACATCTCCAATCAAAACAACGGTACCTAATTAGGGAAGACAGTCTCTCCTTTAAATTAAATGTTTACTGATCTCTCTCTCTATTGGCTCGGTTTTCCCTCTTTCAAAATGCCGAACTCAGTGGATTTTATTGCTGGTGGGAAAAGAAGAAAAAAAAAGAAAGAAAAATAATACTTTAATATCCAAAGTTCTTCCAAATAGCTGTGCTGTGTAGGCAGAGAAAAACAGGAAGCTAGGATTTAGAATTGGCTATATGTAACATTATTAACTGGAAAAATCCAATTTGCCTAAGCTGAAATCCTTCATGAAAACAGCCTGTGGCATCAAAATGTCGTTGAGGTGGGGGCTGATCCAGAGATATTATCCTTAACACAAAGATTTGGGGGACTTTTGAGGACCATTCAAGCCTTCTTACTCGTATGCCACATTTGGAAGTATATGATGTTAAACTTAACAATGTCTTTGTGGAGAGAGCTGTAGCATAGCCCGTTAGGAGTATGGGAGTCATTCTCAAAAACTGACCTGATCCTATAAGATATTGATTGCTCTCTGGCTTAAGCTGCACTGGAGAGAGGTTGCCGTTTTTCATGAGGCACCCAGCACCTCACAGGACTCTGCTCTTTAACTCCACTGTGTGATTATAAATGAAAAGGATAAGTGAGTGGGAGTGTCTTGTTCCTGCATCTCATACATCCTATAGTTTTACACTGGTATTTATAGCTCCAAACTTGTCTGTGCTATAATAATGCTCCTGAGCCGCTCATCTCCTTGTATAGAAGCTAATCAGTACAGAAGTATTATTGATATCTAACCCCTTCCCTGCCCTTACAGAGGAAGAGGGAATTCAGCTCCTGAAAGCTGTAAAATAAAAAGCAGGACTACAGCACTGACCAACAGCAAGGAATCTTGTATTTAATTCACTTATCAGACCAAGCTGATTCTTGTTAAGGGAGTTACTGTAAAAGATTCCTCTTCTGCTCAGGTTCTGTCACGAGGCTGGTGACCAAAACTGTGTGTTTTATCAGGGGACCTATGCTGAGAGGCGTGAAATAGGGTGCAATTGCACACAAATACAAGGTACCACACAGCATATGCCTGATAAGAAGTGCCTCAAGGAGGAGTCCTAAGGGCTGTGTCTTTAGGAAGGCTTAATCCACCTACAATGGAGAGAATGTAAGAATGGGCATGTATGTTTGTACTCTCAACTTTTTCCATCCTTATTTACAGCATAAATTGTAGCTATTCCTTACGGTCAATCCAGGATTAGTCTTCGACGTTGATAATGGTCTGCATATAATTCAAAGTCAATCACTTTGAGGATCTCCTCATTTTTCTTTTTCTAATATGCATGTTTGTAGTCAGTGGGAGAGTCTGGATTTTCATGAACTATAATTTGAGCATGGCTCTCTTTACTTCTACTTTAGCCACATTCTGAAATCCCACCTGGTTTAGAACTGGGCTTTAAAGGTAATCTCACATGAGTACAGATAATCACTAAATAAAAATAGAAACTTAGGCTGTAAGAGGCTAACCATGGCCAGTTAAATGCAGTATTTGTCTGAGTTCTGGTCATGAGCAAGACTCTCTGAACCTGAGAAATATAAATGTGAATAGGGAAAAAAAAAAAAAGACACTTTCTGCATAGTAACATGGGCGCCAACGAGTCATTACCAGGTGATGGCCATGCCCCAGAGATGCACCACTATTACAGCAAATTTATGAGAGAATGCCCATCAGGGCAACTTAGTCTGCATGAATTCAAGAAACTCCTGGGTCTGCAAGGGCTGGATCCACAGGGAGATATATACATTAAACGAGTGTTTGATATCTTTGATCTGAACCAGGTAAACCTTCTTTTCTTTATCTCTTTAGTCTCATAATATTGTTTTGTTTGTGAGTTGTAGCCTGCAGGCTCCTCTTTGTGCTCTGCTCACAAAACCGCTATTGTGGACAGGGTTGCCATTACGGTGCACTAGAGGTGAAGAAGTGGGACTGTGCTTTGAGCAGGACTCTTGTTAGTACTTTCCAGCGGCACTTAAAAAATGTCAAGAAACAATTCTGAAAATGAGATGTAATTTGCAGTTCACTGGTTATTCTTCTATCCTTTGCTTGTCCTGCGCTTGTATGTAAGCATATGACAATATTGGTATGCTCAAATACAAAGTTAGTACGTTTTTACGGCAATGTTAGAGAGGAAAATATGGTCTGCACTTAACCGATGATGAAGTGCAGCACAGATAAATGGATTTATCCGAAGTACTGTACTGAACCTGTGGCAGAGAGGAAAAAGTAACTCAGATGAGGAGATCACACACAGAGCGCAAATTATAAGACCAAACAGACTACCGAATAAAGAGGTGAAGCATCTTCTCCAGGCTAATTTACACTCCCTGCTACTGCAATAACTGCTTGTCATTGCAATCAGCTCTCTGTGATGTAGCTGGCTCCCAGACAGACAATATATATATTTTCCTTAGGTGTACAGACAAGAACGAAGCCATGGTCATCTGATACTCATGTGTAGCACCCTTCCTGAGGTGTAGAAGACCTTAGACCATGTGGTTGTGGAGGGAGAGGACAAAAGACAGAGAATCTAACAACTGACAGACTGGCAGACAAGCATGGGCTGTTGTCTAGGTCCGTCTTGAGCACTGCCTCATGCTCATAAGGTCCTGGAGCTGGCCACTTTGAGCCCTCCACTCATTGCAATGCTGGAGTATCACTGCCTGTCAGCACATGCTCTGCAGATTTGTGAGACCTTCAGATTCTGGATTAATGTAAAAGTGAAGAGAGCGGAATAAAAGCAAGTCTCAGAAAGAGCATTTGCTCACCTTTAGTTGCTGTGGCAGTGGCCAATCACACTTAAAACAAAATGGGAACCCTCTGCTAATTGTTGCTTCTCTATCTGGTGTTTCAGAGTTATGTCACCCTGTTCTGCAGGCTGTCATCACTCCTGTACGTGGAGTGGTCAAGTTGCCAGATAGGAAAGCAGCTCTTCCTGTAAGCAGTACAGGGCAGATGCTTGGGGGGACTTCATAGGTGTGTTTTAAACATAGAGGGACAATATGTATAGTGTGGAGGACAGAGAGGTAGGAGGAGCTGCACCAGGATTGTCAGCTGAAGAACATGCTGTCTTTTCAGCATGGCTTTCAGGATCACCATCCTGAAAGATCTCAGCTGCTTCATCTGTGTGACTGAACTTCCTCTTTTACCAGGAACTTTCTTGCTGCTTCTTTCTGAACTTTACCTTATCATTGTCTTCATCCTCATATTCCTCAGATGAACCAAGATCAATCAAGGCTAAAGGATGGAAAAATAGGGCAATGGCCAGGAATTCAGTCTCACAGAAAAACTGCTTCATCACCCATCATATAGCAATATCATGCGTATAGCATATAGCTAACTATCACACCTTTCAGGAACACATCCCTGGGGGACAGCAGGGTATGGCTGTAAAGTCAATACAAGAGAAAGCATTTCCCCCTGCTGTCTTCTCCCATGTCTCTATTTTGTAATGCTCGGGGTCACAGATACCAGACCAACGAGGGGTGGCCTGCTTGATTACAGCAAACTGGGTGGGTTGGAACAGCAGTCCCTCCACCAGAGAAGGTCGTCTGTGTCCAGTATCTCACTATCTGCCAAACAGGGACTGGACCACTCAAGTATAGCAAATCTACGCGTTTGTCAGCCTTCACGGCTAAGGTCTTTTCCAAACTATCACATGTATGGCCATTGACAGAAACTGTGATCCTTGAACACCTCTTGGAGGGTCTTAGCATGGCACCTCCTCCAGTCCTTACAGATATCCTTTTTTTTATTCAGATGTTTCATACCTAGGTTTGCTGAAAAGTTCAGCGCTCTGTGTAATGTGGAGCTGAGCTGTGGTTACAGCAAGGAGATCC